TCCCCCCCCCCCCCACCAAACCCCCCATTAAAAAAAAAACCCCCCCCCCCCCCTCCCCTTTTTTTTTTTTTTTTTTTTTTTTTTTTCATAATTTACATTTGTTATGTGGGCTAATCACCGTTGGCTGGGGGCTGTGTGGGAAATGTGATTAGTGTGTGAAGCTCTAATTAAGTCTGAGAAGACTCTCACACACACTGGAGAGGAGCTGCACGCTTGCACACACCTTCAACGAGAACGCGGGGAACATAGAGGTCTCGTGCGCGCGCGCGCGCACCAGATCAAAAAACACCGCGTCCACAGGGGAGCTGCTGCAAAAGGAAAACTGATGCAACAAGAGAACAGTTGATCCATCTGCGTCTTCAGCACACATCATCCTGTCCACTGCAGTCCTATCGCAAAACTGCGCGCAACTTGGCAGCACACACACGTGCGCACTGAGAGAGGCGCTGACTCAGACGGATGGATGCTGCCAGTGCGCCCCCAGCGGCCGTGCGGCGCCGCTGCAGCTCCTGCGCCCCCGTTAAAAAGCGGCGGGGCGGCGAGCAGGGGCCACAGTGTGGAGTTTGTTTCAGCCGGAGACACCGAAAAAAAGTTAGCAGCGGATTTTCTCCCCCCTCTCCGTCACTTTTTCATCACTGGTGTCCGACCTGCAGCAGCATCCCACAGGAGCGTCATCTTCATCACCTTCATCATCATGGCAAATAAAGCACAACAGCCTCCTCACCTGCACCTGGCCGAGGTCACCGCGTCCCAGTTCCTTGATATTTGGAAACATTTCGATGTGGACGGTAGGGTTACTTTTTTTTTTTCTACGGGAAGTTTTATAAAAGGCAAAATCTTAAAAAAAATATGTTTATCATATGAATTGTTTATTATAAACAACAAATGATAAACTGTCTTCTATTGTGCTGTATTATAATTAGGATGGGATTGCGACGAAGTAATAGGACCTGAATATGTGATTAGATTAGACTGGATTGACTTAAAGTTAACTGGATTGTATTTATCTACTTGTGATTTTGACCGTTTGCAAATTGCTTGGCGCGTTGAAGTGACATTTGTCTCAATTTGGCCCGTTAAATAAACTGAATTGAACTGAATTGGACAACTGCACCCAATTTCAGGTTTAGAGGTGACAAGTCAGCCAAAAGATCTTTAAATCAAGAGATTTGTAAATTTTACCGAAAGTCATTTTTGACGCGGGGAAATTAAAATTAAGTTTATTAAAGACTTATTAAAAGTACTCTCAGCGGGGTCTTTTTAGGGGGAAAGTATAAATTTTTTTTTTAAAGATATTTACTTTTTTGTAAGAAGTGGCGCAAAATGATATATTTTACCAATCTAAAAAGTTCACATCTGATCTTAGAACAGTCTGTTGTAATGCATTTCTTTATTACGACAACATTTTTAATCATGTCGTGTGACATAACTGTGAAAATAGTTGAAAAATGTGGTGATTTCGAGATTAAACCCCTATTAAAATGTTTTTGTGCCTTTGGCTCTGATTTGCGCAGCCTGTGCGCATTTCGGCGAAGTCCTGCTGGTACATGAAGTACTCCCCGATGTTGGTGTTTTTCATTTCATCATAAGCTGTACTTTGGCTTTACGCTTCCAATTATAGATGTTTTTCTTTGTGCTTTACACGTTTGCACTTTAATAAGTTTATTATTATTATTATTATTATTATTATTATTATTATTATTATTATTATTATTATTATTAGTCTTTGGTGTGCAAGTTGTTGGTTCTGTTTCCTTGAAGCTGGGTTCCATTCCCAGACTTCTTGCATGGAGATTGCGTCCTTTTTTCATTTTGGGGGGAATTCCAATTTACCATAGACCCAAAACATACATACATGGTGAATTAGGCACTCTCGCTGCATAATTGTGCCTCTCTGTGTTTGAATGGTGAATTCTCCTCTTGCCTACTGACAGCTGGAAATGGGCAACAACCATTCCCAACGCTGCAAAATGACACTGTTATGAAAATGGTTGAATAAATCTATAAGTGCAATTTGTCAGGCGCTTTGTTATTTCATGCAAGAAAAGATTTTCATAAGTTTTTGCATTCACCACAATGGAGGATAATCCATCACGGTGACCACACATGCACACGCAGATCCTTTTACATTTACAAATTTGACTAATTCCTTGTTAGATCTGTCTGCTTTGTCTTATGCCACTCTGCATATGTCACCACAATGTGCATGAATCCATAAATAGTTTCCTTTGTCTTCCTATAAATTTGTCAACCACATTATAGTGACAATGTGATGATGCTTAAACTTACTCATAGTCAGGAGTGTAGATGCATTAATTAACTTTCTTTAAACTGATTAATAGAAGGTTTTCTGTATATTTAAAACACACAAGATAACTGTACTGCTAATTTGATTAAGATGAAGGCAGGACGGACAAAACTTCTTTTTCACACATATGCTGTGAAAAATGAATAATCACCACTAAACAGACTGATCTGAGTCAGATTCCTGTCTACTCCCCGATGCTCCAAAAAACACACCTGCAGACAAAGTAAGGGTGCTGCACCTATTTGTTTTACACACTTGTGCTCTAGGGAATCTGCTGTCTGTGCACTCATTTTTGATGCCTGCATACAAGCGGAAATGTTTTCCGCTGGGAAATCAAGCTGGGATGAGAAGCTGGGTGTGGTGGAGGCGCTCAGCAGCTGAGCTTCACCCCAATTTCTCCATATGAGAGCAGAGAAAGTTATTGGTTTTACTCCGTGGGGCCAGTTGGATTGGGCAGATACCAGTCCCTTCCAGGTGCCTTGACTTCTTCGTTGCTGTTTTACATAATTTTGTTTTGCAACGAGCCGCTTTGCAAAACAAAAGTGAGGAGTGAGCATCCGCAGATTTGGCTGCGGGTGTCTGATTTCTGCTCTCATTACTTGGAAGTGTTGCCTGGCTCCGCCAATAGAAAGGAGGACTAATTTGTTTGTTCACACTGAGTAAACATCTCCAAGTTGCAGATAAAAATACACAGGAGGCGAAGCGTTCAGAGACGATCGAGGCACATATCCCCTCGTTGGCACTCGGCTCAAATCTCAGCTGGATTGCATTGCTTTTGCAGCTCCTGTGTACTGCGCCCCTCTCATCTTTCTCTGCTGCTATCCATCAGGCCTTTTCACTTCAGCTCCTTCAAAGCAGGAAAAAAAAAAAGATTTAAACAACTGCTGTTCACTTAGCTAATTTTAGAGCATTAAGCCGTCAATTATTTTTCAGTGGCCTGTAAACGGAAACCGAGAAAGCAAAGTCTAGCTCCTGAATTTACCCAAGACAAAACATTTGAATGGATGGAGCGTTTCCTCTGCTTTGAAAGGCAAATGCAGGTTGTATTTGCTTTTAATAATCACTTAGTGTGCACACCTGCCCTCTTGGTAGGTTGAATTGTGTTGCAGCGTATGTTTTAGCATCAAAACTAGAAATAAAACCTCATTTTCAGAGTCTCTGGAGGCCCTGGTGACACAGCATCCTGTGGATCTTTTTTTTTTTTTTTTTGCAACCAATAGGGATTTATCCAGAATGACTAAAATATGGGATATGAAGTGAGTTGGCATACTCTAACATCACATACCGATATCTTATTCAGTTGCAGTAAGTTGCATGTGAACCAATCACAGCACAAAAAAACTTTAAAGGTTATTATTTTTGTCACTGTATTCATCAAGTCAATGGCAGGTTCCCGCAGTATAAGCCTCCAAAAAAAACTGGCTTGTTTGATTGTCTTCACATCCCTCTGTTTAATTACCAAGCAGGACATTTCGTTCTAAAACGCTAAAGAAAAGCTCAGCGGCAGCACATCACTGTCCCACCTATCGGAAAAACAACCAAAGATTTTATTCATGAGTTTTGATAACATCACAGGCACACACACACACACACACGTACACACACATTGATATACACAGAACAAAGGAAGCCAAGATGTTGGCTGGATGAAGAAAGGAAAAGTCAAATGTAAAAACAGCAGAGAAAGACGGCGAGCTGGAGCGAGAGGAAGTGGATGGCATAATCATCTTTGTTGGAGCTTAATGAGGCAGCTCTGCCTTCCAGGGTTTTATTGAAGCAGCTAGTCACATCGTTTGGAGCCATCTGTCCAGCCATTCAGCCTCGCCTCCTGATAGAATATTGGCACAGGTTTCCATAATACCTTGGTGAAGCAAATCAGACCGATTTGTCCCTAGAATGGATTCTGTCAGAGAATCAGACCACTGGGAATGAGAATGAAACAAGATAAGGGAGAGAGAAGATTAACTTTACAGCCCTGTGCGATAAGATCCAAGAAATATGATTTAATTCAATTTAGGATAATGACCAAGAGGCTAAAAATAGTCATTTTTACCAACTTGGTTGACTGTAGGTGGATGTAATTTAGCTTTAAATAATAAAATAGCTGATGAATTAGTCCATTATTTCTGGAGTTGCACAAATTCATATCCACAGAGGAGGTTATGCATCTTAATTTTCCAAACTTTCTATTAAAAGCCGACTCACCTCATCTGCATGAAGCATTTTCTGACACAAAGCCCCGTGAAAACAGAGAGCTGGAGGGGCGATCAGGTTGATGTCACATGTTGCTCATAAGACCCGTGTGTTTCTCTTCAGGAAATGGATACATCGAGGGGAAGGAGCTGGAGAACTTCTTCAGGGAGCTGGAGACGGCTCGGAGAGGAGCAGGAGTGGTGAGTTCAAGGAGAACTAGATCAGCAAAGATCTGCACCAGTCACAAAAGTTTTACTAGCATAACTGAACTAAATGTTTCCAGGACCCAACAAACCCCACATTCAGAGAAAGGATGAAGGAGTTCATGCAGAAGTTCGACAAGAACAAAGATGGGCGCATCGAGATGTCAGAGGTATCAGTACCGAGAGCCAAATGAGAAAAGTTTAAGCTTGCCGTAAACCGAAGAGACACCTCTAACCAACCTGAAGCGTTTAGTTCAGATATGGCTGCAGCTTTCATCTGTTTTCATTTTTTTGTCACACTTACCTGTTTCAACATGTTTAATATTAGGCAAAGACAACTTAAGTAAATAATTAGAAAATGCTGTTTTCAATTTTTGATTTGATCTAAATCATGAATTAGTTGCAATTAACCACATTGCTTTGGTTAATCTGTAGAGTCAAGAAACAGAGTCTGTCTGACAACATGGAGTAAGCAAAAACACTTATACACTAGAGAAATTCGAGAACAGATGAGAAATAAAGTCTTTAAGTCTTTAAGGTAAATCAGTCTGAGTTGATACTCAAGGCAACATCAGTCCCTCTCCATTCATTTCCTATGGAACGTGCACAAAGAGTTAACAATCTCTTGCCCTCTTCCATTCACGTAATTCAGGCATATGAAATTTGTGTAGGTCTTGTAGACATAAACCTGCACATGTGGGCTTGCAAAGCTCCACAAGAGAGATGAAAAATGTTCAACCTTTGTCGCTGTCGCATGGCACTCCAACCTATCAGCAAGGGTTTCACTGACTGGCCAATGAGATGAAGGTAGGTTACACACTGCAGTCAAATACTGCAGGCTAAGAAAGAGACCAAACAACTGCATTTATAGGAAAGTTATAAGCTGCTACCTAATTAGAAAACCAAATATCCATCTCACATTTCACTAAAACCATCCTGATGACGACTGAATACTTTTCAAAAAATATTCTGTGGACTGACAGGAACAAAGTAGAACTTTTTGGAAGATGTATCCTGTTACATCTTGTGTCAAATTGATACAGCCTTTCAGAAAAAAGAACATCGTAGTGAAAGTCAAACATGGTGGCGGTGTGATGGCCTGGCCAATGCTTTGTCAATATGGACAACTTTCTGTAATTGATGGAACCTCTACCAAAAAAAAAAAATCCTGATGGAGAATGCCCAGCTATTGGTTTGTGAACTTAAACTCAAACTTGCTTGGGTTATGCAGAAGGATAGTGACAAAAAAATAAATAAATAAATAAATCATTACCCTAAAGGTTTTGGAGGGGACAAATCAAAGTCGGCAGTGTGACCTTGAACAGACTATTCATGCTCGCAAACTTTCCAGTGTGGCTAAAGTAAACAAATTATGCAAAGAATTGTAGGCCACAATTTCTCCACACTGATACAAAACTCATCGACGGTTACCACGAGTGCATAACAACTGGCACGACCAGTTATTAAATTTAAAGATTTTACTTTCCATACTGTGAGGGTTCTTCACAGACCTTCACAGTAACTTCAAAACAAAGAAATTAATTCATTGCATTTAACAAAAATATAAAGAACTGACAGATAAAGTTAACTAAATGTGTGCACTGCAAATAGTTAACTAAAGAGTCATGGCTAATGAAAATAATTTTTAAAAATACAAAATCTAAACTATTCACTAATCAATATGTAAACTAATGTTAAGGATGAACAGAAAACAATTACCATTCAGATCCCTGTGTGACTGTAGGGTCAGCTGTCACACACACACCTATGTTAGATGGTTTGGATAGATTTTTTTTCTTCATCATTTGAAAACTGCTTATTTTGCTGCCTCAGATTCTCTGTGCCTGATATTTTGATAACCTGAAACTCTTAAGTGTGACGAAAAAAAAAACAACAAAAAAGAAAAACTGAAGAAATTTGTAAGGAGGCAAAACAATGCTGACGACTATCGTTCTAACTTACAGTGATGTCCATTTTACAACATGTGATGGGAAAAAAAACACTGTGGCTCAATATTCAGTTGGAACTGAGGATCCGTTTTACACAGAGCGTGTGCTCCTTCTATAAATTAGATTACTGCAGTGCATATTTGAATGTAATGCTGAGCTTTAACTTTAGCAGCAGTTAGAAAAACAAGCGTGTGTGTTTGACATCCACAGAATCACGACAAAAAAAGAAAAAGGGAAAAAATTCAGAGCGCCTTTTGAGCATCATCATAAATGAGCTTCAACTACATCCATCGTCCGTCAGTGGGGAAAAAAAAAGCTGCTGGATGTTGATCACTGATTACATCAAACATTATGGCCAAAGGGTTAATAAACATCAAACATCAATGTTTATAAAAGTGAAAATGAGGTACTGGCTTTTTTGGGAGAATATCTATATGGGCACAATTACTGGGCAGTTATTATTGTGCATAATTATTACTCAGCTAAACAACAACAAAAAAAAAACACACATTTTCTCATCACATTTAATTTGCATCTTATTTTCTGAACATGTTTCTTTCGATTACTCGTAAGGAAACATTTAATGATTCTCTTATCTTACCTCGTTACCTTAGGCCACACCCTCTCTCCTTGCACAGAGATGATTAAATCCGCTAAGCATTTATTTCATCCATCTTGAAGTTAGAAAATATGCCTGAAAATGATGATATGGGCAAAATCCTCAAGTGCCTAATTATTGTGCACACAGTGTGGTTGCCTTGCATCCAGTTTTGCATAAAAATGGAATTTTCACAAGACAAACAGACGACATCTTCAATAATCAGAAGGCGAAAGATGTTATACTATGTGATGATTGTGGGAAACTATTTTTTTTTAAAAAGAGAGAGAACCCATTATTTGGGTCTTAAAAGGCTTGTTGGTGTGTTTTCCTCCGGTACAAGCAGGAGCTTCACCTTGCAGTCAGTGAATTCAGATTGAGATTCAAAGAGAAAGAGATTCTGAAATATCAATAAGCCGACTCCCGTCAGGAAAATTAATTGAACGTTCAATACACCGGATAAAGATCCACAGTAAAGTGTTTTCCTGAATATGCTGAAGGGGGATTTCAATAAATATTCCCATCGAAGACATGGCCCAGCTTCTGAGGTTATGCTTTTTTATTATTTATTCCTTAGTTGCCCATTTGAGGCTCTGCAGACAAAAAGCTCCCCCCTCTCTCTCTCTCTCTCTCTTGAACTGCACCATCTTGTGCTCACCACTGCCATTTTCCTGTCATCTTTTTCTCTCCAGCTGGCCCAGATTCTTCCCACTGAAGAGAACTTCTTGCTCTGCTTCAGACAGTTTGTCAGCTCCAGTACTGAGTTCATGGCGGTAAGAGGGTCTTTTGAGTTTTCTACCTGGACATGATGATCTTTTTTTTTAACACAAAAAGCACCTGCCCCTAATGGTCAGTTCTTGTCAGTTCTTAAGGATTTTTTTTTTTTTTTTTTTTGGACAGAACCCTCTTGCTCTATTAAAATGATCATTAATAAGAGCCAACGTACTTCAAGCAATCAACACCGTAGGCTGAACTCAGTGAGCTGTAGACAGACGGCATGTTCTCGCCATCCAGCAGCTAATGTCATAAAATAATTCCCTTCAGATAGTTGATGGTGTTCCAATTAGCAGCATAAAGTGGAGGACTTTGAATTTAAAAGACACAGACTGTCACCTTCAATTGCACATGACTGCACATGTCTTAAAGTTGTGTGTTTTTTTTTTTTTCTTTAATGATCTAAATTGTGCTCAGAGTCAGGTGAGCGCAGACACATCACAAAGAGGGACTCGGGGAAAAAATGGCAGAGCCACAAAAGAGGCATACATATGAGGAACAATAATGTCTTGTTTCTCAAATTGTGGCATGTGTAGTACTTGTAATTGTATACATTATAGTACCAGCTACATTAAATCTGTTACTCACACGGAACTACATGGTAAACATGGTTCTTCAACATTTTATTGCATTTTAAAGCTATTGTCCAGGATTTGTGTTTAAAAGTAGAGCTGATGAGTCTGGAGAATCCTAAACTCCCATCACCATAGTGTCCTGTAGGAATAATCAGCAGAATATACGTAGCGTTTTAAAAAATAAATTAAAAAAATACGCTACGGCAGGAAATTTGTGGACAGAGTAAGGTTGGTTACAGTATTCAGTGAGAGAGTACAAAACCATAAACAACCTCTTCATTTTACTGCTGAGCAACAGTAAACAGTTACACTTGGCCATTAAACTGGAGAGTATGATTAAATGTCACCCCTTCACAATGTGGATGTTTGTGTTGATACGCTGCCATGATATGAACCAGCAAGATTTGGAGGACTTGGGCCTTAAAGAAGGAGTCCTGGTCTGACTTTAAGTAATTCAAAGAAGTTCTTGGCCAATTAGCATTGAATGTCACTTCCTTGCAGGATGAGGAGACCTTCTAACAATACGGATCCTTATTAGGAGAAGAAGGATGAGCCACCTCGCCGTTCTAATAAGTCAACCACTGGAGTCGGCCTCATTCTGCAAGGAAGTGCTTTTTATGAAAGAGGTCAGCAGAGAGGAAGCTGTGAATGACAGCAATGATGTTGGCTTTAAAGGAGTTCTGTCCCACATTCACACCTATTTGCCAACTCGGCTCTGCGTCTGCCTCCTCTGTGGCTTGACATCGTCTTCCCATGTCACAGTGGTCCTTATGCAAAAGCTGCCTAAAGCTCAGTGCACACTGTTACACTGTGCAAGACAGCTATTATGGCTGTGCCACTACATGATGGAAAATACCAGACTATTCACCTGTTGTTGTAGGAAAATTGCGCAAAGTGTCAAGCGGTTACTAAACAGCAAAATACAACCGTTAATGTTTATTATTTGTGTCAGATGTTTAAAAGAGAGCGAGAATGAGGATAAAAGTGAGATAGTGACCAAAAAGACATTTGAAGTGTTGAAGCTCTGGCCGGATGTTTCTCAGACAATTTAAGAACTGAGTTGAATCTCTTTCTGTTAGGAAAAAAAAATAAAAAATCAACCAATTGTACAGAAATGACAACGAGCCAATCACAAGAACACATAAAAGTGCCTGTACTAAAACTTTCAAAGCTGTAGTTCTTTAGCTCAGTGGGTTAAGATGGCAAGCTTGAAGTCAGGAGGCTCCCATGTCAATCCTGGGAGGTTTTGTGGTGTGTCTGCCAAAAAAAAAAAAAAAGAACATCTTAAAACTCAGTTTAGACATTGAAATCTTTCACTTTCAGACCAGATACATCCCAATTTTAGCCTCGATTTCTCCGTTTTTGTAGAATTTATACATGCCAAGCATAAAATTCTCATTGCTGATGTTGCTCTAAATCACCTGTCTTTGTCAGCTATACAGAAAAATAAGTCCTGTAAAATATTTCTATTAGTCAGACGGTGGAGTTACTGTTCATACTCAAAGCCTATAAAAGGAAAGTTTCATTTCTTAGACACTACTTTATATAAAAATGTCCCCCAGTTTGAGTGCTGCTCTAAATTTTTCAATAAGAAACCACCAGTGGAGCAACAGAAAGGGCTTCCAAGAAACTAACACAGAATATTTAATTTTCCGGATGCACGTCGTGAGAACACAGTTGGATAAAATGGCAGATTTTATGTTCGACCCGTTTGCATTGAAAGAGCCGAGGCAATTAGAAACCAATTACATGTGTGGGTCCTCGCCTGTCGTGTCACACCAAGAGGAAATATTCAAGTAAAGGGAGGAAAATGAAGGAGAGGGAAGGTATGGAGGAGAACGATATAAAAGGGCAAGTGAGAGGGAAAGCTGGGAAAAAAAAAAAAAAAAAAAAAAAAAAAGGGGGCCCGCAAATGAAACGCTGATGAAAAGTTGAGGGGTTAGAGTTTTTGGAGAGGGGGATTAATCAGTCTTTGTTGAAGGAAGAGGGGAGGGCAGGAGGGGGCGTAAAGGTTTTTAAAGGGTTAGAATGAGGAAGCAGAAACTTCTATTTTCAGAGTCATATATAATGGATAACGCCACTGTAACTCCTCTCTGCAGAGCTCAGAGGAGGAGCAGAGAAGGAGGAGGAGGAGGAGGAGAAGCCATCCATCTTTGATAAGGAGCCCTTCTTTGGACAGGGACAGCTGCTAGATTAAAACATTCATTAAAATGACTTTCTCTTTCCTCTCTTTCATGTTGCCCCATGCCCTGCATGTGGGCGATAGGGATTGTATTGGAAATAGTGTGATTACAGTAATGGCTCAGGCTTTTCAAATCGTCCCCTCTGCAACGATTTATGCTCTTCTGCACTGGAGAAAAGTGAAACCCTTGGTGCACAAGTGGGGTGGGGGGGGCGGGGGTCGATCAGAGAGAATTTATTCAAACAGAGGAGATGCAGAACACTGTGGAGATGAATTTCTCCGCATCAATGCTGGGAAAAAAATCCTTTCAACTAAAACATTTGTTTGATTTTCTCTCAGGCGTGGAGGCGATATGATACAGATCGCAGCGGCTACATTGAAGCGAATGAGCTGAAGGTAAATGGATATGCTCATCAACACATTAAAATCATTGAGAACAACCTCAGAGTAGTTCAGTGTGTTTGTTCATATTCCTCCATTGTCATACTTATGCTTTGTTTTTGTTTTTATTCCTTCCCTCCTTCACTCACTGTTACTTCCACATGACCAAACATTAACAGGACCCTAAGCTGTAATCATTTAGAGGGATTTCTCCTCATATTGCTTTTGTTGTTCTTAATTCCTGCTTCAAATGTACTCATCAGACCACAATGTGTGAATGTATCCACGTATGCTTATGTTGCACTCCGCTTCTGCATGTTAATGCATGTTGTTCGCACAAATAAACACAAACTAACGAATGTGTCAGAAAACAGTCTGTAACATTTTTCTGTGTCAGTATCATTTTTTTTTTTCATTTTGATTGAAATAACGTTACATTTAGGTAAATTATAATTGCCTTGTTAACCAAAAACAAACAAGAGCATATGATTACAAAATATATATGAAATTTGATTATGATTTTTTTTTTTTTTTTTTAAATTAAGAGCAGTCAAAGCAAGCTCTCAGGGGATTATTTTATTCCTCTGAACCCAGGTGTCCCATAGAGACAGTTCTGCTCACTCATGGGACAAAAATGCTCTTCCACAAATATACAACTCCACTAACACTCATCACTCTGCGCTGAACCTGGTCCCACATGCATGACTTTTGAGAATAATTATATCACAATGGATCAGACAAATTATTAGATGAGTTAGTTGAAAATGCCATTTAAAAGAATGGTGTAAACTCTGGAGGACCAGTCCTCCTCTAATTAGGAAGAAATACAGAAATAAATAAAAGCACAAGTAGTAGCACATTAGCCTAGCTGCTAATTGCTTTTTGGTGCTTGGATCAACTCAAGTGTTTCAAAAGGGCAAAGTGACAACCTTGTTGTAACTGAGAAGATGTAATTCTGATGTAATTGACTTTTAAATTTAATTTGTGTGCAGGCTTCTCGAACTAGCACTGGTGAAAAAGTGACAAAAATCATATGTGGAAGGAGTTTAAATAACACCAAACACAGCTAGGTTTACACTCCATTTTTTTTGTCACAATTTCATAGATTACATTTTCTAGTTTACGTTAATTATTCCCGGATCTGCTCCATTGAGTCAACGTGCCTATTGCATCACTAGATGTCACTGCATGGAACAAATTGCACCTTTAAAAGAAATTGAATTGCACAAACATATTTCAGTTACATTATTTTTGGCTTTATTATTCCTTTTTATGTTTAACTTAATGCGTCTCACGACTCAACTTATGTGGGGAAACTTGACTGTGTGGGTGTGAGATGCAAGATCTTGGAGCATCATGAAAACAACGTAGAATAGCTTCTTCCTAGATCTGCGACGTTCCGAAGCATCTCAACACATACCCAGTATCTGGGTGATGCATTGAGACTGAAAACATTCTCACTTCATCCTAACTCATTCCCATGTTGAGAACATGGCGAAGGAGGACTCGCCTAATCAAATCACATTTTCCACATCTCAATAGATCAGTGCCTGCGGTATTTCACCTTTGATCTATTAAGCATCCATTATCTTTGTAAAGAGGAGTCCATACACTGTAACCCTGCCCTAATATCTCCCTCCATGAAATTGTCAATAGTCTGTTCTTGCTCGTAGTCGTACAGCAGCCTACATTTACTGTCTTGTGAGAAGGAATCGCTCTCCTCACCTTTCAAACATACACAGAGATAATTGTCATCGAATGCGCTCAGCAACTTAAAGTTTCTGATCTGCTTTCTTGAATGTGTTCATTTCATCGACAGTACCTGTAATCTGCTTACAGCCTAGCCAACAGAAATGCCTGCTTGACCTAACTTTGGTTTTAAATTTAATCTACTGAATGGGACACAGGCTGAATATTTTAACTCCATTTTTTTTTTTTTTTTTTTAAATCCCACTAATTCTTTTTAATATTCATTTGTAGCAATGTAAGCCTACGCTATGAGTCGAGCAAAAAACAGTTAACCGGTTTACACATGAGACTTCAGCAGCTGATCCAGAGGAAATTCCCCAGAGCTTCCCCCCGTCCCCCCATCGGGTGTCGATTTAGACGCAAAAGGTGTTGCAGATTACGCACATGTTATTTACTTCAACACCTCTTTTACAACGTTGGCTGAAATGTTACAAAAGGGAACGCTATTCACTGGGGAGCTGTGCCTTATTGGGGTCGACGACTGACATGTGCAGATGCTGCTTGGGTTGTTTCCAGTGTCGCATTTCTTCCAGCTGACCAGGTGCAGATGAGTTACTCAGGTGTGGCTTTTTGAAAACTGTGGAAAATTGCAGATGAGATGCCAGGCGCCAGACATGCGTCTCACCGCATAATTGAGAGCAGGCATGGAAAATATTGAATCAAGTTATACAATAAGGTTCAGTGTGACGCTTTGTGGCTTAAAAGGCTGCAATACTGTGTTTGCAAATACTTTTTAAACCAAAAAAAAAAAGAAAATACCATTTCACTATTTTTTTGTCATTTTTTAGTGGCTGTGTCTTCATTCCTTCTTTTGCTTTAAGTTTTATTCAATAAATTATGTTATGATGTATATTTAGATGGCACTTTTACATTTCAAAAACTATGTGAATTAAAATTCAGGGTAAACAAAACATTTTTTTTTTTTTAATCTTAATATCTTGCCAATGTGATGATAACCAGACGGATCATCTTTGGTTTTGTTTTTCTCCTGATCTGCATCCATTTATAGGGCTTTCTGTCAGACCTGCTGGAAAAGGCAAACAGACACTATGATGAACAGAAGCTGCAGGAGTACACACAGACCATAGTAAGACTTTCTTTGTCTCATGTGTAAATACACATACTGCACTACTCTTCAATTTACAGTGGAGCTGCATGACTTTTTTTTTTTTTAGCTCTATAGCACAAAGGTTTCAAGTTTTACCCTAAGTGAAAATTCTTTCAAAAAATAAATTGACTTTCTAGAGGAGTTTTCTCAAACGACTGTACACAGTCAGCCTTCAATTTATTTTACATATTGAGTTTTTCTCTTTTTTTGTTGTTTTATTTTGTGATAGACCAACACAAAGTTGTGTATCATTATTAGGTGGAAGGAAAAGAAAACTTGGTTTTCAAAATTGTTTTACAACAACAACAAAAATGTGCTGTGCATTTCTAGCTGTTCATTTAAATCCAGCACAAACCCAACACAACCAAATGCTTTCAAACACCTACTTAGTAAACAGAGTGCAGCTGTGCGTAATTTAATCTCAGCATAATTCAGGAGTTTTGTAAAAAGGCTTTAGGGGTTTGTTAGTGATCTTTAGTGGACAACAGCACCATGAAGAGGAAGGGACACATTACACACACCAGGATTAAGATGGTTGAGTTGCTGAAAGCAGGATCCAGTTCTAAACAGTTTCCCAAACTTTAAAAGTCCACCAGAACATGTTTTAATCTGTCAAAAAAAAGACATGATTGTCCTGCTAAGCTGCTAAACTTGCAGGGGGCCTCAGTGCAAAACTTTGTGCATGGACGGAAACTCGCTCAGCACATCATCTCGAAGACCCATGATTGAGGCATCATGCTTTTTTTTTTTTTTTTTTTTGCAGGACAAGGAAACTAGTTAGAGTTGATGGGATGATGGGAGGCAAGAGAATATTAGAAGAAGACTGATAAGAGGCTGGAAAAGACGTGGGGTTGAGGTTGAGGTTTGACTTCTAGCTGAACAGAGACCCTAAACATAAAGCCAGAGCTGTAGTGGAAGGGTTCATAGATGTACTTCAGGAAACCTAAATAAGGTAGAGCTATTTTACAAAGATCCACGATTAAATGTCCGGTCTCTAGTTGCATAGAGGAGATACAGACAGCCTGAAGACTATAAACTGCAGCAGGAAAAGAGGAGGATTTGTAGAAATGCACCTTTTTGTAAAAGAAAAAATATATATTGAAAACCATATATCCTTGTTCTTCAACTTCACAATTATGAGCTACTTTGTCCTTGTCTGTCACAAAAGTGAGCATAACATCACAAAATGAGAAATAATTCAAGGAGCGTTCCTACTGTCCATCTGCTCTGCTGGACGTCAGAGCTTTGCTGTTTTGGTGACAGCAGTGATGTGCAGCAGAGTGGTGGTGACCCATTATTCTCTGCAGGTTGTCTTCAGCCCAGATGCGGTAACATCTGCTCCTCAAAAACCCCGAAGCTAATCTGACTTTTACAAGCAATCTCCTCAATGCTCGGATAAGCCCATTGTTCCTCTACAGTTGCTGCAAAAGATTAAATCAACTGAGGATGTGTCTATTAATGTTTCACAACTTTGGTGCCACTGTCCTATACATGTTGCTGGCGCCACTTTCACTGTAAAGGCATACTATAGAAAAGTGGAGTTCCTTTGAAAGGAAAGACTGAAGAATGTTAATTAACATCTTAACAAAAGGAGAAAAATACTTATCTAGCTGAACATTGTCAGCAAAACTTAGGAGCGCTACTGTCGACTGATACAAAAAGAAAAAGGTGCTTCATTTATCAACCGGGCTACATCATATATAAAACCCCATTTCATCTAAAATGTTCATAAGGCCAAAATGTCACAATTCAAAACAATTAGTTTTGTATCAATTTACAGACAGAGTACAAATGCAGCTAACCGAATAACTAATTTGGTTAACATTTGGAAATGTATTAAAATGTCATCTTTTGGCTTGGACTTTTGCACTTTACAGAAGATCCCTAAATATACAATGTTCTGGAGTTGTTGGTCAAATGTAAATGAATAAAAAAAAAAAAACAAGCCAAGAAGGCATAGGCTATTAGTGTTTTAAAGCTGTAACAGCAAATGTTTGCTCAATTTTACAATGACGTCAAAGCTTGTACCTTCGCTGGTTCTGCTTTAGATTTGATCCACAATTTATATGTTTTAGTGCTTTTCGTTTCTGTATTGTTCTGCAGCTCAGGATGTTTGATCTGAATGGAGATGGAAAGCTGGGTCTCTCAGAGATGGCAAGGTAATACGCAGTTTTTACTTAATTCTCTTCACAATATTAAAAGTTAAAACACATTTCCTCCCGACGTTCATTCTCCGCCGTCTGATTTAAATAATTAAGCGACCACTACGTCCGCTAATTAAATCCTTTCTCCCCCGCCCCCACAGGCTCCTCCCTGTCCAGGAGAATTTCCTTCTTAAATTCCAGGTATGGAAAGAAAAACCACCAGCACAGTGGTTGCCTCAAAACTCTGTTTCAATAACAAACACCAATTTAAGAAATGTATAACTGAGCAGCCTTTGCATGAATTATTTATTTACACAATTACAGTTTTTCATCTATATTAAGTTATCTTTAATTATTTATTTTTACATATTAGTAAGTTATACATGCTCATGCTTTTATTTCAGCACAGTGTTTATATATATATATATATTTTTTTTTGCGTTCTGTGTTTTATTTACAGGGTGTGAAACTGACCTCTGAGCAGTTCAATTCCATCTTCAATTACTATGATAAGGTAGGTGGCATTTGTTTTCACTTTCCATTAATCAGTTTTATCAGCCATGATGCTATTTCTGTCATAGCTAACCTACATTTTCCTGATGTCTGTCTTTATTTACCTTCACATATAATGACTCCACCGATCTCTGTGAGCTTTAGCCTGTCAGCTAGGGAAGTTAGAGTCTAGCGATCTATCCAAATATATTAATGCTATGCAAAATGTGACTCTGTGGCACTTGAGATATGGCAGGCTAACAAATATTGGTAACAAACCACTCATTTGTGGTTTCAGCATTAAACATGCTGATATCATGACAACGGCAACTCAGTATGTTGATTAAATAAATAAGGAATATGCCTCTGTTAATTTAATTCATATTTAGCCTGGTGATCAAGAAGCGCTCCTCAGCACTGTTCTCTTTTTAAGTGACGATGCTTCTGAAATTCCCAGGTTTTATAATCCGAAGCTAGAGTCATAAAAATATCCCAAGACTCTAAACGTAAGTTCCTGAAGTCTGCAGGAACCCTGCCAGATGCTCTGGTTGATTACATTCTGCATTTTCCCAGAGAAAATTCAGTGTACAGTGAGGCTGAGTCATATATAGGAGGGTGTTATCTGCGACTGAAGCCTCCTGAGCTTTGGACACAGAGGTGACTGAATGAAAGTATGCAATTTATTTAAGTTGTGTGGGAATAAATGCTTGTACTTTGTGTAAAAGCTGAGCTGTCCCTGCATGGACATGTTGAACATTCTCTGTCAAATGTGTGTATGAATATTGTTTGTTTTGAGGCAGTTTTTTGTTAAATTAATGGATATGCAAATTTCTTGTTTAAGGTCTTTTCGTCCACCTAGGGAAATGAGTTAGGGCAGGTGCACCTGTCCCTGTGTAAACAGCTCACGGTTGTTCAGCTGCGGTTTTACTTATTTTCCAAAACAGAGGTAAATCTGTTGGGAAGGACAGCAGCGAGGGATATGATGCAAGGCAGAGGGGAGTGGAGCTTTACAATACAGCTGCTAAATCATTTTTATTGTTTACGGTTCGCTATCAGCTTTGTGAAGCCAGGGATGTGCTATTGTAGATTGTAGAAAGACTGAGTCAGGTTTTGGGGGAAATAAAGATTTCAATTTAATGTGACACGGCATTGGTTTTTGACTTGGCTCAAGTCTTAGTCGTTGTGGGTGTTTTCCATATTCCTTATAGGCGTTATAAAAAACTGGGATCTGAGGTATATTCCACTCCTACCTGTGCTGGATCAGCTGCATTGATTTCACTAAGTCATGAAATATTTAATGGTTCCTTTTGGAAACAAAGAATTTTTTTTATTTTTATTTATTTTATTTTTTTTTTGCTGTGTTGAGGAAATCTACAAAATACACCAGTTGTCTGAGAATTTATTTTATATAAGGCTGCAAGCACACTGTTTGTTCTTGTTAAAGTTGGCGCATATAAAAATATCTAAATATCACAAAGTAGAGTGTATTTTGGGGACAAAAAAAAAAATCTAAATAAAATAGATGTTGCTTCCTAGCCTCATCTTGTTTGTTCACAACAGAGAACGGCTGTCAAGCCTCCATTCCTGCAGAATTTAAACATTTCTTGCAGTATTATTATAGTAGGAATATACAGTCATTTTTCCATGACTGTTTTATGGCAATGTCTGTTATTTATTTTTAATAAATGTTTTCTGTACACAGTGAGGGGGAAGCCATAACCCCCTGTTTAGCTGTTCCATCTCTCATTGCTTGGTGTATATACTTAAAAGTTATGGAGTACATACTTAAAATTACTGGACGCATTTCCTCTCGTGATAAATATAAATGCTGGCTGCTGCAGTCGCTGGTGCTGAGTCTGTGGACTGTCAGCTGGACTCTGACGTGTCTCAGGGTACCCACATCCCTTCAAAATCCAAGATTGCCCACAGCTTAGACAGACACTCGGATATTTAATGTGACTGTGTTTCTCGTAACGCCGCAGAGTGCCAGGTCCTTTTATCCTTAAAGTGGGGAATAAATAGAATTCAAATTTTATTCCCCAAATCTGGTACACTTCAAACTGGCTGTGTCATCATCAAAGAGCATCTCTTTTTAAAGGACTGGCAGGATTCACTGCTCTGAAGTCATCTTGAGACTGAGCCCAGTTGAACAGATCGCGGCTCGACGTTGTTTGCCAACGGCAGACTTCCAGTAACACAGACTTATCTCCTGGAACGAAACCCTATAAACACCACCGTGAGACATAACTCATTAATTAGCAAACATGCTCAATATTGGCTTTACAGCTAACCCTCTTCACGTTATTGTGAATGGAAAGGCTGGTACATTCATGATTTCGCCATAAAATCCTGAATGTGGCTGAGCAAGAAAGTCTGGAAAAACAAACCAGTCAGAGCAAAAGCATGCAGGGAACAAAATATTTTGGGTCTCTCTTTGCCAAAATCATCAAGTTGAAAGCATTTACAGACCTTTTTTTTTTTTTTTTTTTTTTTTTAAATCCTGAGCTTTATTATTTTGTCTGTTCAGGAAATAAACCAAACACGCTAGAGTTTATCAAAACACACCAAAAGTAGTCTGAGTTCTGCAATTTATTGTAGATCTGAAAAAATAAAATGTTAAGTATACAGTTTACTGATTTTTTTTTTGATTTTTTTATCATTTGTTGTTTTAGTCAAAGTTTGCTTCTGAGAAAAGTTTCCTGTTTATTACAAAATTAAGATGAATGCAAAGTACTGGTCAATTAACAGGAAAATAATTTATGTTGAACTAAACATTTTTTAGTAGATTCTATTTATCTATGAAAAAAGTTGTAAAAATAATTGTGCAGCCTCATCAGTTGCCTGTAGCTCTCCAGTTATTTGATTGCTCTCAAAGTATTTCTTCAAATTTAGGCAGTTGTTTTTATAATTTCTCATAAAATTTAAAAAGTAAAAAAATAAATAAAAATGTCTAAATATTTGCATAAATCTTTAAAACCTATTGAATGCATAGGTACCAATTTAATCACAATATGTTCTAAATATTAATTAATATTTCAGTAAATGTTTAGGCACTTTGCATTTCGTTATAGAAATAATTTTCATCCCACTCTGGCTCACTGTGTAAATCCCATCTGATTGATTAATATGCACAGCAGTTACACAGCAGACCAATCACAATGTCTTTAATAGTGGTAGCCCAGGACCATCAAGCAAATAAATTAAACTAATTAAGAACTAAACATTTTAAATTCTCAAAATAATCATAATTTTTTGTCCATTTTCTTGCATGTTAAATATCTGCAATTTAAGCACTGATTTATTGAAATGTAGCGCTTTTAGGCTCGAACTTGACAGCAGATGTTACAAATTAGACAATGATTTGACAAACAAAATGTTGAGGCTTAAAAAAAAGACTGGTCTAAAGACCTAAAATAAGAAACTACTAGATCTTCATCCAGTTACCATAAGTCTAGTTTTCAGCTAATATATCTTTGGTCATCTCTTCGGAGGGTCTAAAATCCTGATTTCCATGTGTGAAACTGATCTATCTCTGGATCTGTAACAGATTAAGCTAAAGAAGCAGGTACATATGTGACAAACTGCTGACAACAAGGCCAAAAGATCCTAAAGGCCTAATGATCAGGACTTCAATGTGATATTTTGGAAATATTTTCTTGAATTTGCTGGTTTCTGTTGGGGGGAAAAAAAACATAGCTCATAAAAAACAAGAACATATTTTGATGTGACAAGGAGGAAAAACTCACAAGACCTGACAAGAACAAACTCACATTTATGGTTTAGTTCGACCTTCATCTGCAATGATCATTGTAATGAGTTCACAGACAGGAAGCTTACAAAGAATTTAGATTTTATAGTGCTTTATTTGTCCTTTTTAATTGGTCATGCTACTTAGCTCGGTCTGGAACGTTTTGTAGGTTGGTACGTATGAGGATGTAAGTTTTCAGTGAAAAACATTGTGGGCTAGAAAAAGAAGTAGCAGCATTTCCTTCAGTCCTTTTGATGTTGCGGTTCTTTGGTGGACAATAAACTTTTATTGCTTAAAAAAAATAATAATTAGTCTCCTTCTCTTGCCAATGAGTGAGTGAAGATAGGTACCTCTACATCCACCCTGCCAGCCTAAACGGGATTAAGCTAGTGTAAGAAAATAAAAGGACAAATTAAAAAAAAAAAAAAGCAAGAATGAGCATGCACGTTGTCACATTGTCTGTTTTGTCTTTGAAAACCTTTTCTGAACGTCTTGAGTTGAAAATACCTATAATGTGTTGTTTACTTTGATTCCTTGCCAGGACGGGAATGGCTACATTGATGAGCAAGAGTTGGAAGCTCTCCTACGAGACCTGTACCAGACCAAGAAGGTAAGAGACGGATATGGATGTCTTGCATTCTGTTAAGTGATTTAGGTCCATCAGTCCACACCGTGTCTGTGCACAGCTCAGCTGGCCATGAAAGTTCAAACATTAGCTTAGTCTTCAGGGCCGTAATAACATTTCTCCGCCATCATTTTTCTTCCTGATATGCTTAAAACTATGCTAAGCACATTAAGCCTGTATAACTGAACATGCTGCATGTGATTCATATGTTTGAGTGCTCTGATCTCAGCGCTCCAGAAGCTCAGATCAAAAGCTTTACTGGTACCAGCAAGACATCCAACCTCATTAACTGTTTATCGTCGGAGTCCAGGATTTGTTGAGAAGAGCCAAAAAATAAAAAAAATAAAAATAAAAAAATTATTAAAAAAATTCAATATTTAGAATTTCTCAGAAAACTAGAACAAGTACTTTCAATTGAAGTTCGATCAACATTACAAGAAAGTGATGAACAATACATTCACCGTGCAGAGCTGCAAGTCTGATACATGGTTAGATTTGTAGATTTTCTCTCTGGGTACTCTGACCTAAAAAGTGTAAACTAACTAAACTACAGTAATGCTAGTACTTGTAACGAGTTACTTATTGAGACCTCAGAGAACATGCGGAACTCACTCGAGGGACAATATATATCATTTATTGTCTACAATGAACCTGAGTTGACTTAAACAAATTTCTACCTGAAAGATGCGCAGTTAATCAGATTTCATTTCATTTCAAGCATCAACACTAAGGGCTAAAACCTGATGAAACGCTTAGACCTAGAGGCTTCAGTTTTTTTTACGTTTTCAAGCAGGCATTTTCACAGATACACAAATATAGTGTAAAATGGAGACAATCTGGTGAGTTTGGACATTTTATTAACTCCCAAACAGCTGTGTAGATTTCATCATTGTTAAAAACAATTACGTTTGTGATGGGCTAATGTTGAGATTATTGCCATGTACTGGCATAACATGGGACATATTGTGGGTAACAGCATTTCTGATGGTTTTTGTGTGGATGCAGATGTAAAAAAAAACCATCTGCACATCTAAATTAGTTAAAAATTTAGATGTTTTATTTTGACATTTTTCACACGTTTATGTATAAAATGCTGGTGTTCACAGATTGCTATTAGTTTCTTGTATTTTTAGTAAAATACTTTGAAATGCACTCAGTTTGTATGTTGTTCTAGAATGTTGGAGACTATTTAATATTTTCTTTTTCTTTTCGGAAAAGTTGCAAAAATAAACCTGGTATTTAGCAAAAATAACAAGGGGAAAAAAACTCCTTTGAATCCAGAAAGCAGGAGAAAGGAAAAATGATTGTCTAAAAATTAAGTTTTTAATTAAGTTTTTAAAATTAAGTTTTAGGTTTTTCTCAGGATCAAAAAGTTATAGCTCAGAGCTCACAGCCTTACTGTGCCCAGTCTTTTTATATTTATATATATATATATATATATATATATATATATATATATATATATATATATATATATATATATATATATATATATATATATATATATATAAAAGTATGATTTTTTTTGCATTTTTTGCAGCTTGGACCAGATTTTTTTCTTGTTGTCTTTTACTTTATGTGATGTTAATGCTGCAAAGCAACAGTAACAATATGAACTCAAACCAAAATCCTTCACATATCCCTGATTTCTTCCTTTTCTGTCCTCAGGATGTGGATGTGAATAATCTGATGGGCTACAAGGAGAGCATCATGAGCCTGTCCGACGGTGGGAAGCTCTACCGCGGAGAGCTGGAAATCGTCCTCTGCAGAGAGCCAATTGTGTGACTTCTTCCTTCTCTTCATTTGCATATCTTTGTTTTCTCTCTGCCTGCCTTGTCTTCTCTTTCTCTCTTTCTCTCTCTCACCCATTTCCAGCTGAGTGGCAACATATGGTGCATGTGCCAGACACGTTCCTTCCCCATTCATTCCCCCCAAATATTCCCATTCTGAAAAAGACGGAATGATACGTGCACTGTCAGCACAAGATAGCTCTTCTTCTTTAAAGTCATAATTTGTGAATAATGACCTCTCAGTGCTAACCATCTACCTGTTTACTGTGAGCTTGTCCTAATTTACCGCCTCTGACCTCATCCCTGTCCATGCTCTGCCTGAGATGCAAAAATTCGACTCCACAGAATAAACAAACTCCCAGTCCTTGACCCGACTTCATTATCCAGCTCATTCGCTCTGTCAGCTCTGCAGTGTATAGGCAAACATGCAGACAGATGTGGCTGATTGATTGCATTTAAATTCTGAATATTTTCCTTCTCCTGAAACCATTAGAACCCGTGTGTACCGTTTCCCATGATATGATTTTAATTTTCAATGTTTGTTTTTGGCTGATGCTGTCAACAGAAGATATTAATAAAGTATCTTAAGATAAAACTGTCTGATTGTATTTCTGTGAAGTATCTGCACCTGTTTAATTTGTATAGTTTTGGTTTAATCGAAGCACAGAAATTTTGACATTTTTAAAATGCAGGCGGGATACAGATAAAGACTTGTAAAAGCACTTAAAATAAATATTTTATTGATATATGGATCATTTTTTTTGCATTAGAGTGCATAACGTCAGAAACTTTTTGATTTATCAACATATACATACATTTCTGATCAAATCTAGTAATTGAAAATAGGATGTCACTGGGTTTTTGTTCCCATAGCTTAGTGAACCAAACCAACAGAGAAAAGGTTGACAAAAATCTTTCTTCAATGGTCAGCTCAAAACCAAATGCTAAAGAAAACTTGTGAAGTGTGCAAAATAAAAAAGACACCATAAAAGGGAATCAAGGATGATTTAGAGCCAGTATCAATTCAGGGATTAACAGGTATTAAATATGCCAATAAAAATAAATAAATAAAATTTGATACAATGAAAACACACTTTGGGAGCATCGTGTCAAGTAACACCATTAACACATATCGGAGGTGTTGCACTGAAGTGTACAGATCACTATGTCTGTGAATTTTAGTCAGCTGCAGTTATAATAAAGTTATATAATAAGAAGAACCAAAGCAAAGGAGAAGAAGATCAACGATGGGGCCCAGAATCATTTGCATTTATGTTGGGAGAGTCAACGAAACCGAACAGTTTAAAAACAAAAAAAATGCTGGGTGGCGGAGGCCTGAGAGTGTTGGTTACTGACCAGATATGGTCTGATATGGATGAAATTTAATGAATAAAAGTTTTGCCTCTGACACCACCGGCATATGTAGCATGCTAAGCAGATTTTTTAGCCTATAGTTTACAGAATGTGACCTCTTTCGTGAGTCCTTTAATGTAGCTAACAAAGTGGGTGATCTCTCATTTCTGAAGGTTTCACTAGACTTTTGACATGGAGCAGGGCGTAGTTTGAGGCTGGAGTGTGTGAGAAACGCCTGAATTTCCTTCTTGGAGGTTCAACCTCAGTGGGAAGTTGGAAGTTTTGAGGAAGAATGAAACACATAAACACTACAACTTTCAATCAAACATGTAGAGTCACTACATGACAATATTTCCTCATATTTTTGTATTTCTTAAACATCCATTCATCCATTGTGTTTTGTTTATCAGACATCGGGTTGTGGTGGTAAATCCTGACATGCCTCACCCCTCAGTCTAGGGGATCCAAAAGCTTTCACAGCCCAGATGGATTTACTGTTCCTCCAGCAGGTTCTGGGTCTTCCCCAGAGTCTCCACCCGGTAGGAGGGGCCTAGAAACCCTCCAAAGGGAGGCGCCCAGCAGACATTTACTCAGGTGAAACTTATCACAGAAAGCCTCACAACCAGAGTAATCATGCAAAAGGAAGGCTCAAAAGAAGAAATCATATGAAAGAGAAGGACTGTGGTGGATGTGGCTTATTTTTCATAACACGCAACTTAATAATGGAGAATCAAATGATAATCCTGTCTGACATAGCTCATGAAGAAAGTCAAAAGTGTGTCTGATGTGTTAGATTTCAGGAACACTCAAAAGCTAAAATGAAATATTGCAGAATTAAACACTAAAAATGATTAAAACTGACAAGCTCAAAAGTTGGGGTTTTTTTGTGCCTATTTCCATTGGTTGCTGCGAAAGGTTTCAAGCTCTCCATTTGATCTGCAGATGGGAGACTTTTCCTGCAGCTGAGCAGAGATGTTCCTCCAGAGACTGCAGGATAGTACATGATATTTCTAGTAAAATCCTTGTAATTGAGTTGACATGCTTTTAAGGCAACCTGAATAATACAGCACGCACACAAACTCCCATCGCACAGAAGAGCAGCTGCAAATCAATTAATCAGAAGCATTTAAATCTTTATGTGACTCACAGCTGCTCAGAACCAGAACTTGGGTCTAAAATTTCTGTTAGGATCCGTATTTTTTTATGTTTTTTTTTTTATTTTATTTTTAGAAAAAGTAAAGAAAATTTGCTTAACCTTTTCAGTTCTTTGATAGTTCCCGTTAAAGATTACTTTCCTGAAATGTCATTTGGGCGGTTTATGTGAAATCCACAACAAAAGCACAGGATATCTGCTTGGTTTAATGTCCGTTTTTTGTTTTAATTCAACTTTTTTAAGCATTCAACTCATTGAAAAATTAAAATGGAAAAAAATGAGAAAGGAGTCATAAATGACTCAGCTGTTTCTTTTTCTTTTAAATAAATCCATTAGGACTAAGGGAAGACAATCGGAGAAGAAAATGCTTCAAGGAACTGGTGAACTGGTGTTTCAAAGTCACACGTCACTAAAAAAGCTTTTTATTCTTTATTGCTGCTAAAGTTGTAAACTTTTGTCGCGTCCTTCTTGAGGAGAAGCATTAAGTATGAGCATAAACTTGCAGGAAGTGAAGGGAGCACAGAAGGTGGGATGCATCTACAATCCCTGGATCGATGCTTGCTAAGCGCTCCCTTCTGCTGCCATCTGGGAGAAGATTTTAGGACAAACTCACCAAAATGCAAGATGATGCGTCCATTAGCTAAAAATGTGGTCATGACAAGCATGATGGAGCAAAACAGCATGCATGTAACATATACTGACTTGCTAGCTGGTGAGTAAAGTGCTTTAGCTAATGTCAAGATCAGTGGATGGTAAGGAGGATTATTGTGATGACGTGCTGAAGGTAGAAATTACAACTCTACCTTTTTTCACAAATTTGATGACATCATTTCATTTAGAGGTATCAGACTACAGGGGTTTTGTTCCTCAAACTAGTGATTATTGTGAACGTGTCTATTCTGTGTCATTTTCTCCCAAAGATTTTCTGCTGGTTTTTTATTATTATTATTATTATTATTATTATTATTATTATTATTATTATTATTATTATTTGTTAGTGGGGTATTCAGTGAGGACATTTTTATTTCACATTGGGTGTAGGAAGAACTAACTAGGAAAGATGGTTTTGTTGAAGTCATAGCTCCATCATGTATGTTTGCATGGTCGCACACTGTAAAGAAACTGCATCCTTATTTGGAAGGTTGTTCCTTGGGAGGTATGATTTGGGAACCGGGTCGACACATTTCCTTTATTGTATGTTGCTTTCCACCGCCCTTAGACAGCGAGGCTGGATACAAATTCCCGCCGCACGTTTTTGTCGACCAGTTCTGCAAACCCTCCGTTTCCTTCTTCTGCAGAACTGTGTGCGGCTTCTTGTCAGTTTATCATGGCAATTGACAGCCTGTTAGTAAAAAGTTTGAGGCACTTATGTTTTTTTTTTTTTTTTTTTTGTGCTCTGCATTTTTCAGTACGCTGCACATGACCTCAGTCCTCTGCAGAAACTGACGCCGTGCTTCATTTCATTTCAGTCACTCTGCTGCTGTCAGCAGGATTTAAAATGTGGTGCATCGCAGACGGATGGATACCTTTACTGACTAATTCATTTTTCAGTAAATAGATGATTACAACTGATAAATTAAATATGGTTTTTTATTAAGAGCTCTTGGAAAACAGATATTATTTCTTCAATCCTGCGACTGTTATTTGTTGTTGTTGTTGTGTTTTAGTGACTTGAAAGCAATTTTATGCCAGCTACTGATTTGCATTATTTTTCTCGCTCTGGCAAACAAAAAGCTGCCCCAGGATAACAAACTACGCTAAATCTTACATCGAGCTTATGCCTCAAAATAAAACCAAGATGACACTTATTCATATTTGTACATGAAAAATAGTTATGTGAGTGAATAGCTGACCAATACAATCACGCAGCTATCCAATTGTGATAAAGCATTGAAATATAGGCTGCAGGCAGCTGGATACTCTTTGCTGAGCATGGAGAATGGAGAGAATATGAACATAAGAGGGTAACACTTATGATTTATTAATCGATGAAAGAAACCCTGCTGATTTATGGATGACTTCTTTAAATATAGCTCGTGTAAACTGGATGAGTAAAGTGGATGTTCCAACCTAGATTCGTGTACGGTCTACAAACTTAAGATCAAACACCATCCACAACATTTGAGCCTGTGTACGCAAACATGCTCCACTTAGAAACTAAATGTCAGACTGCGCATCAAACGCCAACTTTGACAGACACTGAATGTATTGATCGCAACTTAGAGATAAGAAACACAAATGTGATCAACAGCTGCATGGTTCAGTATGATTTGGACTGGTCTTAAAAGCATAATGTCCAAATAATATGAGAACAGTCTCCTCCAGCTAATTACTCACCTCGTCGAGTTTTAAGTCTTGTCTCTGTTAATCTTTTATGATTCACAGAAACCCAAAGAGGTCGTTTTAAAGGGACAGCTTTGGAGTAGATGTAAACATCTTACCTCAGAACAGAAAGCACTCAACAGCAAATGCAAATACAAATCCGAGGAGACAAAGCAAGATCCTCAGGTTCTGCAGC